TAAGAAAGTTACTTGGACCTCCATCATCCATAATGCATCTCATAAAAAATTAATCAAACAAACGAGTTCAACTCGTAGTGTTATGATACCCCTAGATCATGCCACAGCATCAGCTTGTCTTCTAGTCAGTCGTGCATAGAGGCCATCGTCGACAACAAGCTCCCTATGACTGCCAGTCTGTGCAACACAAAAGATATATTCAGATTACATAATAAAATAACAGGTGCGAAACTTACTAAACTGAGGTTGAGTGGTATGAGAGATCGTGGCCCATAAGGCTTTGTTGAAGTGGGCAGGAGTAATCAAAGTAGGGTTTTGAAAGTCCAATGTTGCTTCTTACCAATATAAGAACAGAAAACATTCCAAAATATATGTCGTACAATACTTGTAAGAGACAGGCCAAGTTTCTAACCTCAACAATTCTACCAGCATCCATTACCACTATCCTGTCAGCTGCTTGTATGGTAGAAAGCCTGTATAAAGTGAGTAGGCCAACTTTTAGAATAACCCATTAAGACAATCAAAAGAGAGGATAATAGAGAACCAACCTGTGTGCAATAACTATGACAGTTCTCCTCATTGTCTTGTCACTTCTGACAGCACGAAGAACACCCTGGATATAAGGGAGAATGTCACATCAAATTACTTATCCTTCTAAACCATTGTGGTATTGGTGTGGGGAGCTCATTGCCAGAAGTGCTTACCTTGACATTGTGTTCACTCTCTGCATCCAGTGCACTAGTGGCTTCATCGAGGATCAAAATAGTTGGGTCCCTAAGAATAGCCCTGGCAATGGCAATTCGTTGCTTTTGCCCCCCACTGAGTAAATCATCATCAACAAGCGTATGATAACCATTGGGCAGGGCTAAAATGAAATCATGTGCATAAGCCTGCTTGGCAGCCCATTCAACATCCTCCTGTCTAATATCTCTAGTACATCCATAACTAATGTTTGAACTGATATCCATCCGGAAAAGTTTGGGTTCCTGTTTACATTCAAATTGTAAAAGAAAAAAACTACTTAATCTGCTAACTTTCATGCTGGAAACAATAATACAAACCTGTCCGACAAATCCGATTCTTTCCCTCCACCACTTGACGTCTAACTCTTGTAGAGGAAAACCATCAATCAAAATCTGCAATGAAAGCAATGTATATTAATGGGCAAATGCACTAAGCAAAATAATAATTCAAAGACCAAATTTCAGCACCATCAATCCTTCCATCTTTTTTCTACTTTTGTGGTAACACATTGATGGATGGCTTAAAAAGTATACCTGACCATTTGTTGGCTCATAAAGACGGAGCAAAAGATTCACCAGTGTGCTTTTTCCACTACCACTAAGACCAACCTATGAAAATTAGGAGGTTTCAAAGTTAAGTGCTCAAAATTTACCAGGGAAAATAAAAAACCAATAAAGAGTCAGCAACACTCACAATAGCAACCACTTCATTAGGCTTCACCGATAAGCTGATGCTTTGCAGTACAGGTACCTATTCAAATGTCTAGTTATTTTCTTTTGGCAGTACCAACCTTAACAACTTTAAGCAACAAAAGAATCACATAACTATTTTAATCAGCTAGCCTAGTCAAACGAAACAGGTGACATATAAAATGATGTACTATAGGAATTTGGTGGTACAAATTTTAAATATAGTGTTAATGCTAGGTAAACTTAATTAGTGATCTTTATAATTATGCCACTAAAGGCATAGCAAAAAGAAAAAAAAAAAGTAGAATGGGAGTTACTCTAGTGTGAGAGACAAAAAAACAAAAGTAAGCAGCTTCTAGTTAAAAAGTTTCCCTGCATAGGTACTATACTCTTCATACCATCAAGACAGTAAAAGAGGCTCCAACACTTTAGGGCAGTGTATGGTGGACTAGGAGACAGGGAAAGACCACTTTCAGGACATTTATTTCTATTTTAGCCACACTCACATTGTTCTCAAGTGAAGAGCCTGAGGGATATCAGAAACATGGTTATCATAAACAGAACTTAGATTTTGGATAGGAAAGATACCGTTGGTCTTGTAGCATAATGAAAAGAAACATTTACAAACTCAACATGTCCAACCAGTCTTTGCAACCTTGAGCCTGCGCAGAACAGAAAAAGTAAAATTAAATTAAACAAATAAACATCATCATACAAATTCCAGGCATTCAAATACTGCAAGACATAAACAAATACACCATAAAAAGCAACAAAAAAAATTATTTAACCTAAATATGACATGAAACAACATATTGATGTAAAACGTTCCACTGACATTCATACTTTTCTTGCCTTTTGATATAAATTGGTCACTAGGCAAGAGATCCATTAATTGGAAGACTTTTTCACTTGCCCCAACAGATTGCATCAGAGAGGATAAATTGTCCCCCACCCACCATGTTGAATAAATTAGCCACTCGCTGTACAATATAAACTTTGTAAGTTTCTCTGCTGTAATATGACCAGCAAGAATAGACATTCCTCCTACCAGCACAGCAATGACCTAGAAAATTGTGTGTACCAATAAAATAAGTCAACCACAAGGACTAGTAAGATCAAGAAAATAAAAACAAAACATTCTAGATTTAAAATTAAACTATCAATTCTTGTGTGAACCATCAACACAGAAAGTGGTTATTTTGAACACTAAAATCATATCTCTTTGAAAACATTGAAAAGGCAAGACCTGTGTTGAGTGATAAAGAGTGTTGAAGGTCAAATTCCAAAAACCATATGCAGCACTTTGTCGCATGCTTATATCAGCCAATTTCCCCAGCCACAGCTTGTACCTATACAACATACATAAATAAAAACATCTCTGTCAACCACTATGAAACATGAGTACAGCGTTCCTGCTTGCCTATGCTAAATTTATTACATCTGTTGTAGCAACAAATGCCGAAATCTAAAAGACTGATGAAGGATGCAATTCTGTAGGATCTACACCTTCCAAGTTCTTGTTTTTCTGTTCCATAAACACGAACAGTTCTCACCAAAGAGAAAGTCTCTTGCGCAACCTACATTACCAAAATCTGGACATTATAATCACTTAGGAACCAAAATCTTCAACAAATTCATATTTAATTTTTTTTTATTATACCTCATTGGCAGAAGCAGTGAACTCCTGAGTTAGCTTTGCTGCCTTTTTCTGGTACCTACAACAAAGGTAAAAGTTTATGCCTCGGTTTCTTACAGAAACATTGAAAATATCCGAAAGAATGGGACTCAAGAACAACAAGCATTTGACACAGACATCTTGTTGTTCTGAAACCACAACCCTATACTTTTCCCAAGCACTACCTATTCCTTCCTTGTCCTCGTAAAACGAGTGGCTTAAACCAAACCACATCTAATAATTCACATCCAAGGGTATACTGATTTCTAATGTTACCCATCCCTTTTTTTGCCGTACTTCCACTTCATAGACTTATATTAACCGATGAATTAACAGTATTTGGCAAGGCATTAACATATAGAGGAAGAATAACTGATGAAACTGTGAAAAAGTTTTACCGGCCATAAATCAGCATAATTGCTGCTAAAGTAGAGCATATCACCAATATACATAAACCAAGAGGCCATGACAAAATCAACAAGTAGATCATCGCACCTGTCCCCTGAAAAGGAATAATGCAAGGGCAATTTAAATCTCAGAGTGTGGGCAAAATAATTAAAGTAGTGGTTAAACCAAACTATGATAGTTTTAGTTGTGAATAAACCTGAAGAACATTGCGTAATATCATATTCAGATCATTTCCAATAACCCGTGATACTTGCTGACAATCTGCCCCAAGCCTACTTGTCAAATCACCAACTGTTTCAGTGTCAAAAAAGAATATATCCTACAATAGAGATACTACAGAATAAGTTAAACAATAAACTAACAGATCTAGAAAGTTATAACTTGATTGATAGAATTTTTTTTTTTTTTTTCTGAAAGAAAACAGTCCAATATTTCCGAACCTGAAGAAGAAGTGAAGAGTATAGTGTCTCCCTCATTCGCTTGACCTAAAATATGACATTAAAAGATCCAGTAAGCAATTTGGGGAGAAAAGCATGAGAGATGATGGGGCAGAATTGAAAAGGAGGCAAAATCATGAGAGAGAAACTCACAAGAAGCATATTTGCAATGCCAAAACAGCATCCTCGTATACCACTGAAGTCCAGAAACAGAGTATGAGGTCAGCAGCTGTGTCAAATAACTGATCACTCATGAAGTT